ATCCCAGTTCTGTAAGAAGTATCGATATACCAACAGAAACCAGACCCCATGTGAGCTGTTGGAATAGAACAAATGCAGATGTGGTCATTTTTACATTTAATTTTGCACTGGAGTTATTGTTGTTGTTTTTTCTTGGGCTTCGTGACAGGTCCAGTGAGACTCTGGCTATGTTTGAAAGACGTGAAACTTTTTTTTTTGAAGGGAATCAATGAAGAGGGAGAAAAAAGGTCTGACCTCAAAATAACTGCCAAATTTGTCTGGACTCTGGCAGGTTCCTACAGTAAATTAGCAGATATTAGATCGATTGTACAATTTGGAAACCACATAAAATGATCCCCGACTCTTAAGCACAGTGTTAAACTTGAGTTTGGCAAGGTTTTATCATTGCTTAAGTTCATAGTGATGACTTCTATCTTGGCCTGATGTTATTTAAAGCAGTGACCGAGAATGACAACTGTACCACAGCCTGTCTTTGAGCGGTGACAGTACATCTGTTATTATCGCACATCTGTTACAGAGGTTGTGATCTGAGGTTTTGTTTAGTCTATTGTGTCAATAGAGTAAACAAATGTGTTCACAGTAAACCCAAATAGAGTCAGAAGACACAATAAATGCAATGTATTAATTACCTGCTAGCTTGATAATCAAACAGGAAGACAGGATACCTGAGACAAGGACAGCACTAAAGCTAAGCATCTTATAAAGCATGTTTAACACTTCATTTGTAATATTTCAGATTGTCCCTTCTCATCTTTCATCTGTGGGAAAGCTTAGTCACAATAGATGAGAATAGTTCCTTAAACCAGCCTTAAGATGCGTATCTTAGTAATCCTTAGACGGGCCGATCTATTATGTTGATCTATCCCCAGAGCTTCTTTTGAATTCATTGGTCCCATAATGCCCATTTGCCATTTTTGTTAATATGTTGGGTCACCTGTCTCACAGCTGTCCATGTTGACTAGATCTGCCTTTTCATCGTTGAGAGCTACCTGCCATAATGACCCCGTAATAAAGTGTCATTATCCATCCACCCAGTCTAGTGTACTATGCACAAAGCCACTGCAGGAATCCATGCCCCGTCAAGTCATGTCTGTTGGGTATAAATGTCAGCGTCCTTTTGTTAGTATTACAGACATTCCCACATTATGGCTGGGCTGATTGTTCTATATTGGAACGATGGGAGTGGAATAGAGCGTTTGATTTCAGATAATGTAAAACAAGACAAATGCCAACGGACCGGATGGGCCTTTTTGTCTAAACTTGGCTGCAGACTTGAATCTGAGACTATAACTGTGTCAGTGGGAGCTTGAAGACATGAGGATGACAGTGGTGTGGATTACACAGTCCGTTATTACAATTTGTCAGGTTTTATGATGTCAGTGACGCCTGGAATTTATCCCTTTAACCTTTTATACTCCAACTCCTTGTGCTATCTGAAACCATATATGGTCCTGATTTGTCACTTTGTACATCAGTCCTTGGGGGAATGCGTGAATAGATTAAAATTGCATCACAAACTCAGTCGCAGTACAAATTGTTGTCTTTGTTTTTGACTGCAGGGATGCATATGACTCTTTTCTTCAGCCTCTAGAATCCAATTTATGATTTCAAACATAAGGTTGTTTTACAAACAGATAAGTTCTGGTTATCTTTTGTAATATGTCATTTAGTATAAACTGGTTTTTATAAACATCTGTATGGAAGGTTGTAAATCAAAAATGCACCTGCCAGTGACGTTGCTCACAAACATCACAAACCCTTGTAACGTACTGTATGTAGTTTGTAAAGATCGTTGCTTTTCAGAACATGTTTAATAACTTGTTCAGTAATAGGTATATTGATTGCTAATGTCATCATGATTTAGTAGAGAAGCAGTCATGTGGCAGCTTCAACAATTCAAGGGCCCCTTTGTCCATTCATCAGCACCCCTGATTGGGCCCATGTCATGGTTAGCTGCAGGCCCGGCAGATAAAGATCAGTGGATGATTGGGCACACACATTCTTAACATGGCTGACCCGTGACATCTCAGGGGCATGCAGGGAGCCTGTCATTATGTGTACAATGCACCGCTTTCTCCCCTCTTATCTTTGAGATGACATTGAGAGTTTTTGCATTAACTCATTAACGAAAAGACTCATCATTAAAGTCATCACAGAGGCATGGTGCAGCGGTGGTGACACTGCACCGCCGCTGCATGCAGGAATGTGTCCGAGGCTCCCCAGCAACACGCTGACAGCAGGAGACCTTGGCAGGGCTTTGTGGAAGACGTGAACCTGTGGAGACATGTTCCCGTTTTGTATACACTGTGCGCTGGCTTCACATGAAAGTATGTAACATGATGAATTAGTTCTCGGGACCGCTCACTTATGGCTTATATATGGCAACCTTGATGATGATTTTAGAAATGTAACAGATGTATCGATGTTGTATACATCATTCATCAATGCTTAGAACAAGGCATTAATGAGAGCATGTTTAGTTTGACAGATTGTGAAAAATCTCTCTGGTTGAGGAGGATAAACACCTCCTCCAGCATGACACTTTGCCCTTTTAGTGAGCTTTTCATTTATCAGGGAGACCCCTCCAATAGACTGTCAGACCCCTCACCTTCTGGTAAAGAAACAAAATCAATTTATTATCAACTTAGTTACTACAGATTGGATGTCAAAAACTACTGCCCCTTATGATGACTTAGTATTTTTTGTATAACTACAAAATGTACAGTATGGCCTTAATTCCTGTAAATCCATGTAAATGGATTACCAACCGTCATAATATTATGATCATAAAACAAAGGGTTAACACAACAACTTCCTTTTATAAATGGCCAATAACTGATTAAAAAGAAACACTAGAAAGTGCTGTATAATAACCTCAAATAATGCCATAAATTACTACTTACAAACCTTTTATTATAAGAAGTGGCACTTAGATTTAAGTCTACATTTTTCTCACAAACTTTTGTGTTTTGCGATATTTTGCTTCAGACTAGTGAAGGGTATTATGCCTAATCCTCATGTGTCAGGAAGAAGTCCTAATAACATTACTTAAATCAAGCCTGTGTCACTTCGTGTATGCCCTTAATATTCATTCCACCTTGATGTGTGTGTGCACACACTCACATGCCCAGCGGATGGGAGTGCTTATGTGCAGCTCATGTGTTAATGCTGTCATTTCCACAGATCAGTCACAGCAGCCTTTTCTCTGTTGTTTATGGTTATGTCACCACAATTACAAGAGAGAAGGGGGGCAGAAATAAAGTGTCTGTGAAAGATTGATAGCTTTGGTCTTTAGTTCAATTGTAAATTAGAATAGCAAGTCCCTCTGGGATACAAGGGCTCTATTTATGATTAAGAAAGAGCTTCCATAATAGAGTGGTGGTAGGAAAGTTTGCTCCCTCTCACAAACAGGCAATTAGCTTGATGAAATGTGCCTTACTTTTTTTTGCAGCGCGGTTGTGTGAACCCATATTATTATGGGCTCCCTTATAGTTTATGGTATTATTTTCACCTTGAGCTGCAAACAATATGCTGTTTGAAGAAACTGTAGCTTTTATTTAATGTATTAAATTTCCCAACAACTTGTTATCACTACAGTTTGATTTGGGCACGAGCAAGTTCAGAAGTATAGAGGGGGTTTTATATCCTGTGATAAAGGAGGCAAATATCACACCATTGCTAGTTTTTAGTCTGGCTCATAAATAACACGTGCACTGGCTTAGAACATGTGTTTTATCAATGCTTATTGATTTCAATTCATCTATGCAATCATTCCATTTGTTGTATTATAACCTGCTGCTAGTAATGATTCCCCATGTCCCCATACTGAGTATACTCATTTTCTTGTTCACAACCATTTTTTATAGATTTTCTTTAAATCTATTTATATAGTTGTTCATTACCTTTTATGTTCCCATAGTCACCCATGTTTTACAGGGTCAATAAGCTTTAATTCTGTTTAATTCATAGAGAAAAATATGGATCAAAAAAGTAACCAGTAGGTATTTTTAGTGTATACTCTAAAGCAGTCTAATGATCTGAACAGTTATAAATCCTCCTCTGAAATAAGCTGTGTAAAAGATTACTATCATACTTAATGATTTTATGGCTGAAGGATTATCACACTCCAGATTATTGAAGCAATATAATATCTCTGGTTGTATTGTAGTGAATAAGCAAGTCAGTTTGTGAGCCAATGTGTGGGTGTAACTACTGTACATACAGCATGTGCCAAAGTGCTCGTCAGGAATATTACACGCAGAGTTGTTTGTGTTGATTCCTAAATTAATATAAACTACACGTGTCCTAGTTAGGATTATTTAATTGATGTGGTAGTTAAAAAAATATTTAGTTCAAACTGAAGAATTATATGTTTACAGTTTACCATGATATGACCTGTTGTCCTTGGGAAATACTGTAGTGTGATGCCCACAGTATCAACACAACTACCACCAAAAAATATACAAACCATTACAGTGACTATTCATGAAGTTTTTAATGAGGTAAACCCTGAAAGAATATTCTTTATCGTCTAATTTAAACACCAAAGACGGCACTTTGAGATGAGGCGAGGCGTAGGAGTGAGAGGAATTTTAAAGCTTTGAGAGGACTGAACTGTGGACCTACCTCCTCAGTACCAGCACACCACTGCCCCAAGCCTTTCTTTACTAAAAATAATAATTGAATGGCCCCCGACTGAAGATCTGTGTTGTTTTTTTTCCCTTCTGATATTCCTTCTTTGCAAGCCAGATGAGGCTTCTCAACTTCAGACAGCACAAGCGATGTGTGGCCACCCTCTTTTTGACAATTTCTGCCCGAGGGCACATGCTCCTGTGCCAGCTGTTGTCATGGAAATTACACCAGTTTATAACATTTGTTTTTCAGTACAAAGACAGTGGTGATGTACTATTATCTCTTATCTTGCTAGTGTTAACACTTGGCTAATAAGTTCATTTTTGTTCTTTGCATGCTTTGATGCCCTACAGTTTATTCCGAAGGCTCTGGCTGCTCTTACCCAGACAGACTCTGCCACCGCTGCTGTTAACAGCTCCGTTACGCCTGGTGATTGATCCACAAAAGTGACACACCAAGTTGATTCATCCACAAGTGTTTGCTGTGAGTTCATATTTTTAATTATCTTGGATGTCAACACTCCGTCTTCTACGTTTGACTTTATTTTTCTTTGTTTTATTTTTTGCAGAACCTGTTCTGATTCTGATCATATAGACATGAAGACCTCTCCTCTGGTATGACAACATATCAGGTAATGAATATATTAATTTGTCCTCACTTACAAGGATTACATATTCAAATACTGACAATTGTTTATAGTCTGGTATAATCACTGTTAAGTGCATTGAGTGTATTATAAAAATTGTACTATAGTGTTTAAGAACTGTAGATGCATAATGAAATGGTGTGTTTAGAAAGATGAAGGCACAGTAATGTCTATAATAAATTCAGAAAAAAGACAGAAAATATTACACTCACACAGACAAAAGTTGTTAATAAGTTTATAATAACTTCCTCACTCACCATGGTTAATGGCAAATAACTCCTAAACTGGAACCGTATAACAAATACTGTTTACTGAACACATTAAGTCATGGCTCTGTCTAACCTCTGGGCGCTATCACATGTCCACAAATCCCCTCTCAGTTTATTGTCAGTGGAGCAGGTCTAACATTTGACTGTGATGACATCATCCTGGGAGTATTGGCTCTCATGGTGTGAGCCCTAGAAGCAGCTCCTGCATGTCCTCATATGACGATAAAGTAACCAAGATCCTGTAAATAAGTGATTCCTGTTATTTTAATGGATTTTCCCCTTGAGGTCATCCTACCTCCAAGAACATCTTGTGTTTTTCATTCGCAGTCATCGCTGTTGTCAAGGTCTTCTCCTTTTATTCCCTCCATCAGTTCTTAAGGACCATTGATCACATGTGGATTTGTGTAAGTGAAAAACTTAAAATGGCAGTATTTGTTATTATACAATATGTTCCATTCACAAATGTTAAATACCTGTGGAAGTAAAGATGTAGTTAAGATCGTCAATATTCACAGGCTGCTGAGTTTGTTCATAGTTATACAATTTATCTCTGCAGCACTTTGACAGACGATTTCTTATGTTGAAACATTTCAGCTTGATTAATGTCTCAGCCTGCAGTCTTTAGGCCTGGAACTAGCAGAAGCACCTCATATAATATGTTTCTGCTGTAAAGTTTAATAATCATAACTATGTTTCAATTTCAGGAGAATACTCTACTCCTCACAAATGTTCAGATCGTGAACATTTGCCTAGCAGAGAGAAAACACGGTACATTTGCACATTCTTGTATTCATTTAACTGCAGTACACAAATGATTTTGCTATATAAGTGAAGTTAAACGCAGACTCTAAATAGAAAATAATTTCACAAATAGTCAGATGTACTCTCACATGTCATTCAGCATGTCACAAATACAGTTATAACAATAGTTCCAGTTAGGAAAGAAAGCTTTATTTACACACTTACATTAATCTGTCATGGTAAAACAGGAAACATTCATTCTGGAAATGTAAGTGCACAACATTAAAGACAAACACAGCTCATATGGTGTCATAAAACTTTATTGGTTATAGATGTGGCTGGTGTGACACTGCAAATTGCAATTATACACCGCATAAGACACACGGCTATGGTTTGAAGTTTACCAACACGCATGTACAGTATGTGTTGATCCAGCGTAGTTTGACGGGTTATCTCCTACAAACCACGTAATTGTTTAGTGTAAATTAACACCTATAAGAAAAACTGGAGATGCAACGTTAACAGGACAGTAGCAGTTTGATATAATTGATTAATCTAATAATGAGACTTTTTTGATCAATATGGCTGCCTTTTTAATTAATTATTGGTAATAAGTGAAATTTCAGAACATTAAGCATACAATTCAACACTTTATAGCCGAATTAGAAACCTGAAGCTGAAGTACGCCTCCTCTACATCCGTTTGTGTAATTCTTACATATCCCTCCCTGCTACCACATTACACCTTGAGTTACAGTAATTCAATACACTGTCTGCTGCCTTTGGGGCCACATGTGAACCGTGTCTGGCTCAGGACTGAATGCTGCCACAGCTTTCTCTCTTAGGTCCTCTCCAAAACTTTTTTCACTGTCTGAGTACATGAAAAAAAAAAAAAGTGAGGTGAGTGGACTGCCCACTCTCCCTCTTTTCAAAAGAAGAGGGAGGGTAGGTCACACTCGAAGAGACACATCTTACAAGTGCCCGGGAACAACCGCGGTGTTGTGCTGCCGGTCGCTGTGTGGCTCCACTGGGACAGATGGGCCTTAAGCTGCTTTGCCGAAGGGTACTTCAGCAGTGGTTCCTACAGGTTAGAGAGCACTTATCACACAATTCCCCTACCTAGACTTTCCCAGCTAGTCCTTAGAGTTAAACCATTGACCTTCTGGTCATCTGCCTCAAGTAATCACCACGTATGCTCCATCAATGCAGTCTTTAGCAGCCAAAACAACACATCATTTATCATTTCTCATATCATCTCTCCATTCCACAGTTTTGATCACTTAAACAGCCGCGACTTGCACAACCAGCATTTACAAATACATTAAGAGCATGCTGGCAGTCAGCCTAAAGAGTGATCATTGAGACAAATTGATCCCTATCTGTTTAAATTGGCACTATAATCTATCATTGGCAAATTGAACACAGTGAGCTATCTGGGATCTATTGCCTTTTTAGATAGCAGCCCTTAGGGCATGCAGACAGAGTGAAAGTGATCTACGCCACTGAATGAACTCTTTATGTCTCTGCTAAGACATGTACATGTATGTCTGCTAACACTGAAGCATAAAAAGGTGAATGTTATACATGTTATTATTTCTCACACTGTATATGCGTCTATAGCTTACATGTGTGCATACAATCAAATGCTCATACACACACACACCATGTTTACACTAAGTGGTTGTTAATTGGTATAATGAATGCAATTTTCTGTAATAACATATTATTAAAATGCCAAAAAGAGAGAAACATAACTTAAAGTCGTACTTTTTTCCATTAAAGTCTGTAAAAGCCATGCTTTAGTGTAACCTACAGTATTCAACCACAAAGAAAAAAAGGCAAATCAAAAGAAACTACGTTCTATAAGAGTATACACACGGGATAATTTATTGAGTTAAAACCTGTATGGCAAAAAAATCTTTAATTACATTTGTTAAAATGTTAAACTATCCTTATATGAGGAGACTTTGCTCATGTTACGTTAAGCTTATATTTATTCTATGATTGTTGTGATATATGAGTCTGATGTAACTTTTTGAAACTGTCTGTCAGCAAATATTCTTTGCCTAAATAAAGCCACATGTACAAGCACACATTTGACTAATTGGTCCTTTTTTTTTCATCTTTGCATTCAAGCAACATTACTACAGCAATGCTATAAAGAGAGTATAGATAAGCCTTTACCAGAGGATGCCTAATATAATGCAATACAGCAGATAAAACTGCTGTGACTTTGGGGCACAACCACCATTAATCTAGTGATCTTTATCAAGCAGGAAAAAACAATTTGAGGCTGTTTAAGAGCGTTTTGAATATTAAAATATTGCTTTTTAATTGTATACACAAAAGCTCAAACCTGTTGCCTCCAACAGTTAATCAACCTGTGTGTTATCTGACATTAATTATTCTATATTTTTGATATTTTATGATAAGTTGAATCTCAACCAATTGTCAAAAACATGTTATATTCCTGGTGTTATTTTTAAATTGGACGATTTAATTTGTTCTGATTCCACAGTGGTCTAATTCAATGAGACTCTTGAAGTTGATTAGCCTGGTTAACATTTGCTCCTGCGCGGGTCTGTAGGGGTTAATCAGGCCGGGAACTTGGAGACCCCCGGGTCAGCCCCCCCCTCCTATCTGCATGAAGCACTCGGTGAAGGCGCAGATGAGATTAAAGTGCACTTTCATCACAGTTTTTGACTTTTTACAAAAAGTGTGAGACGGTTTCTCGCCGTCAGCATGACTCTGCTTTTTAGATTAGTTAGGCTATATCTTAAAAGAAAAAATCTGATTGATATGCGATCATTTTTAACCCAATTCACGCTGGTAGTTATTTGGTTTTATTCTACAATCTGTTGCATTTACACTGTTTTGACTAAAGTGCGCGTTGGCATATACAAATAATGACCAGTCCCAGTGCACGTGTCAGTTTAACTTGATACATGAGTGAAAGCGTTTTCTTTGCACGGCCGTAAATCTCAACTATTATCTACTCACTATCGATTAATTTAGCTGCACTTATCTCAATCAGCACATCTCCATTCCTGTGTTCCAGAGCGTGTGCTTTGTTTTACTAACAATAATAAAGTGATTTAGTCCTACTCCCAGCCCGAGCATGGGAAATCGTTAAAGATCCAGCTATTTGTGTGTGATCAGTAAATATTTAGTGCAGGCGACATCCTCTGTCTCGTCTTAATCGATACTGGTCCCGTTGTGTGCAGGCTCGCTGAGCAGTGCTTTTATCCTCTGACTAAAGGCAGAACAACTGCTAATCACACAGAGGAAACTTTTAAACCCGGGAAATAAAAACTGCAGCACAAGACTTTTAGAGGGTTTAGCAAATCAATTGTGTAAGTGTGAAACTGTTTATGCGTGGAAAAGGTGTTCAATTTTCAACCCAGTATAGATTTACGCGAGGTTAATTGAGGCTATTATCATTTCATTATAAAGGCTTTCTTATTCTCTGCATAATGTATAATTGTAAGAGATGTAGCTGTAAGAAAGAAATAGGGATATTGTTTATGTAGTTGCTTCTTAATTTTGTATAATGATTACATTGTCATTTTAAATTATAATGATTCATTTGAATTAGAGCTAATTAATAATAATGATAATATAATAATAACACAATAGTCATTGCTGTTTTTATAGGCTGTGTTTAAGGACACTGGATGTTTATTTTTGCAATCAAATGAAATATGTTGGCAGGTTTTAATTACAGCTCTAATCACAGGTCTTATTGCATATTCTAATCTCCTTATAATTTCTAATAAGCAGAATCTCACAATGCATGCTCGCACACTTAAAGACAGGTGTCTGTTCTGACTTCCCCCCCTCCCTCTCTCCTCTTAGCCCACACAAAGCAGCGGCGTACACGCGCGTTTTGGCCATATTACTGTGGGAGAGAAAAGGCGCACAGGATCTCTGCTTTGCTGTAGCCTAAAGACGTATTATTTCCAGAAGCAGTCAAAAGATATTCTGCTCCGAAGATATTATTATATTTCCAATTCCTCGCTCATCAACACATGACGTAAATCAGTTGTTCTTACCGGCTCTCCAAAGTGTTTGCATGATCAGACATTTGCCAACATTTTCTTAATAAACAGCGTGCTTTTTGTGTTTGATTCTGTCTGTTGGAGACGAAGATTTGCCAGTTTCATTCTGAGCAGTGTGTCTAAAAAGAGAAGACAAAATATATTCTGAATAAGAGAGAAGATGCACCCTGCTACGGAAGAAGCCACACACATATGCATTTGGTTTTTATAAGAATACAGCCTTCTGCCTCTCTATCACTATCAAATAACTTTATGAATGGGTATTTGCAACCTAGTTGGGCTTAATGTGATCATCATATAAATGAACACGTGGAGAAAAAAGCAGTATGAGTGACTGATACGCCCGTGTTGAATGCGCACTAGAAACATCGTGTATTTACGCTACTATATACGTTGTTTGCAGCCATATATTTATTTTATTTCAACAAATAATGCTGTCCGCTTATTTAGACAATATTTAATTTAGAACTGAGAAATAAAACACAGGTACTTTTACGATTTATCCTATTAAAGTGCGCAAAACGTAGGCTACTTACCGTTCGAAGTCGGATCCTGGAGAAACGGATACATTTCGGGGTGTTTTCACGGCTTCTGTAAATGAAACCGACAAAGTAATCATGCAGACAAAATAAAACCGGCTCATTTGTTTTAGAATAAAGACATAATTGCTCTAAATACCACCGCTGGGATTGCCTGAAGTGGCAAAAAGTAAATCCAACTCTGGCAACTCTGAAAGCTTTGCCGTCCAAGTCCTGTAAAACAGAATTTAAACAAACAGTCATCAGTTTAAAATGGTGCTCGTTAGTTTGGTCGATGCGGGAGAAGAGACTGAAGCAGTTTCCGTGTCGGATGGCTCCTCTAAATTGAATCTTATTTGAAGCAAAACTTCATACGCTAGGGGGCACCCATATACTGTAATAGATCCTGGGACAAAGCATGCTGCTGCTGCTGCTGCTCTCTGTAGACTGACACAGCCAGGCTATAGGTTCATCTGCAGGGCTGAAAGTGAAGTTTTACCTGCAGTTCAACTTTGATCTCTGGGTTTAAAGTAAACCAATCTTTACCGCTGTTTAAATACAAGTCTAAAAACATATTAACCATGAGAGCAGCCACTCTGAGCAGACACTGACCCCGTTCTACATCCTCGGCATCCCTCACTGTGTTTGCAATCATCCCAAAAGCAGTAGATTGTCTTTATTATAAGGCGATATCCGAGGTGTAATTTAATGCATGACCCAAAAAAAAACGCTTTTATAGGGTTGTTTATCAGGAAGTGGCTTTGCTTTCATCTTCACATTAATGTGCAAGGCCTTTGACCTCAAGGGACATTTTAAAAAGTAGACCCTATTTAAAGATGTGGTTATTTCATGTTTTGACCACATGAAGAAAGAGCTCTGACTTTGGAGACCCAGGTCTGGCCCCTCTGACCTGGTGCGTTGGGGATATTTGCGGCCGTGAGGGATTAGCAGGCTACAGCGGGTGGCTAGATAATGTCAGCAGCCTATCATAACGTTTTTATAAGAGATGTGGATTGTGATGAAATGTATGTGGTGTGATTAGAAGCGCTAATAAGTAGCCTATATTGGCCTGTCCAAATAAAGGAACACATTTGGAGAAAAGGGGAGATATTCTGCGTCTGCCTTAAATGTGCATAGACCGAATAAATCTTTACTGTTTTACATACTTATCCTAAATAACATGCACACTTCCAATGATCATGTATCATACACTCAGAGTGTCTCTTTGTGTTCTCAAATGTGTATAATGCCTTTTATATTCACATATAAAGGATAAACATTAGGGCAAAAATAATAGTTTTTATTATAATGAGCAAATATAATGTGCAGAAGGTGCACCTGTGTCCACGGGACAAAATCTCTTTAGATTGTTCAGTATTTGATAAATGTACAGATATAGTGTTACGCGATACGAGGCAATTAATGGATATGTGTTATTTCTTCATGCAATTGTTAGTGCTTTACCGGGAATTGAGTATTTTCTAAGTATGGACGATTTGAGTGACTAAAAAATGATTCCCGAAACTCGTCTCGTTTTAGGACCAAGCGGCCCTCTCGACCTCCATGCTGGCTCTGGCAAGGTACCAAGTAGCACAAGTGCCGACTAGCCAATGGGGTTGAGGGGGAGGTCCCTAAACTCTGACCAGTCAAACACACTCTCCTTCCTTATATGGCAGCAGATCTCCATGGTAACGTGTGCTAAGTTGCAGCAGTCGTGTCAAAGTTCACTATATAGAGAGCTCAGTGAGCTGATCAGAGAGAAAGCATTCTGCCAGCCCAGCTCCTACCAATCGCAAATCACTTCCTAACCTCCGCCTTTTTAACATATTTGATCACTTTGATTCTCTACTCCTTTTTCCTATTATTTTTCACTGCACGAAGGAGGTTTGTAGGTTGTGATCTTTGTTTTTGTGGTTTTTGTTTTTTAGTGCTTTCAGCATTTTTTGGGAAGAGTTGTCTTCACCGTCCAGACTCTCCAAAAACATTGGCTTCTGCTGCGCGCATTCTGGCGCTACCTCTCAACAAGAAAAGGAAGAAGACGCATTTTTTTTTACCCAGTTGGTGATTTCCTTCAAGACTTGTGCTGGAACTTGATAGTAGCTGCTTCAGTGTGCTCACTATTGTTTTTGCTGCTGCAGACACGGTCCTACCCACCAGCTGCTCCATCATTCTCTGAATATTCCATGCTATCGGTTGATCATTTTAATATTTAGCCTACATTTCCCATTGATGGGTGTACTGGATGGCTGACTGTAAGCGCCCCTGGACTTGGCCTTTAAGCGCAAGGCAGCGACTCAGCTCGCCATCGCATCAGTTTTGAAAACGTGCTTCGCGACGTCTCCAACAGCAATAAATCGACAGTTTTCGGGAGATTTTGACTGGATTCAACGTAGGTTAGATTTGACATTGTATGTCCTGTTAGTCACAGTTTATCGCGTTTCCTTGAGACATTATTCACCGCGACACCAAAACGGCAGACAAAAAGTTTCTTTACGTTGACTGATAGATATGGCAATG